TTAAAAGGAGTGATGACCTGAGGTACAGATCTATTCTGATTTATGTCAGTGATCGATGGGTTGGCTCAGGACTTTGAACAAGTTTCTAATAGCAATCAAAATATTGCTACTGAAAAACTGAAATCATACTTGTGTTAATAAAATGACACATAAGATTCATAAAATTTCAGCCAGAAGTCATCTCAGAAATTATCCAGTCCCCAAAGAAGAAAACAAAATATTCAGAGAAGAAACTCGTCTGCAGGATGAATAGTCTACCCTGAGACCAGAAGAACTGGATGGTACCTAGCTACTACTACTGATTGTCCTGATCAGGGCCACAATAGATGGATCCCGATAGGATGGAAGAAAAATATAGCACAAAGCTCAAAATCTTAAAAAAGCTCAGACTTGCTGGACCCATTGTGGCTAGAGGACACCCTGAGACTATTTCTCTGAGATATTCTTTTAACTTTGAACTGAAACTATCCCCAGAGGTCACCTTTAAGATAAATAGCAGATTGGCTCATAAAATAAGGGATATAACCCCTGGAGAAGGGGAAAATTATTCAATTCCAAAATGAGGTCCAAGTGAAACAGCTAGAATGAACACTGCCTGCATCTCAACTCAGGGTCCTCCCCTTGATGCATTCATTAGTCTGTCAGTGTTCCTTGAAGTCCAATAATGTGCTAGGCTCTTCCCTGACAACTAGGGGCAAAGAATCAATATAGCACTTGAGCCCATTGTGGCAGCCACTGTTGAGGTCAATGGATGGACGATGAATATGGAAGACTGAGGAATAGATGTACTTCAATTTGAATTATGGTGTTGGTGAAGAAGATTAAATAGATCATGGACGGTCAGAAGAAAATACAAATCAGGGTTGGAAGAAGTACATCTAAGGATGGTCAGACTTTGTCTCATGCTCTTTGGACCAGTTCCTGATAAGGAGATTCTGCCTTTTCAAGTAGGGCAGACTAAATAGTTGCTGCAGAGTGCCAAATGTAATTACAAATGCTAGAAATTGAGCCAGGAAGAACTATATGACTTAAAAATAAAACAGATACCAACAGAGATATTAATTAATTCAAGGTTGGATTTGATTATTAAGGGGAGTTTGCGTCTCTGTCACTGCTGGGAAGAGAGCCATTTTGAATGGATTTTGATGGCATCCTGCCTGAGTCTTAGTAGCTGAAAGTTGGACTGAGTGAGATAACATTTAATCAATCAGGAAAACTGGAGGATGGTGCAATCTGCTATTAGTTGAAACAGTAGACAGTGGTTGAGAGAGGGCTGTGGAGGATCCCAAAGGTTTGTTCATTTTCGTATCTGAACCTCAAACTCTATTCTTTGTTGCCTTATTAAGCCCCACCCTTCCCTTGTTGCCCATTCCCAAAAATGAAGCTTTGCTGAGAAGATAAAGACATCCTTGTCACCTCATTGGATTGGGTTCACTGTCTCTCTCCTTTCAGCCTCCTTTCCTGCTTCCCAAATCTGAGTCCCATGTTCTCCCGTCCTTCTCCTACACTCTCACTTCATACCCAGCTTCTCCAGTTGTCTTCCCTTCCTAAGACCTTGAGCTTCTCCTTTCTACAGAATCTCTCCCTCTCTGTTTTTAAATATGCACAGGCCTCCTTTAGTTTTTTGAGGGAAATCGCTCCATCTTGACAGTCCTCTTAGCTATTGCATAAACTCTCTTCCTCCTTCCACCACCAAGCTTTGCAAAGGAAAGTTTTACATAGCTCAACTCCCACAATCTGGCTGTCAGTCCAACTACCATTGAAATTGAACTCTCAGAGCTCCTGCAGAATTTCCTAAGCATTCAATGAAATTGCTTTTCTTCAGTTGTGATTTCTCTTGGCCAAGTTTTTGAGTTTTAGAGCATCTTCTACCAAGCTTTAGTAGCACATTTTCTATGCATACTGGGTATTTCTATTTGAACATCTTATTGTTACATCAGCATAGTTAAAATCATACAGCTAATTTTCTCCACTGATGTTCCCCCAAATGATTTTCCTACGTATGACAGAAAGCAAGCTCTGTGAGAACAGGGATCATATTGTTCATGTTTATTGCTATAGCTCCATCACACTGCTTGGGTATAGTCGATGTTCAGTAAATATGTGTTGAAATTAATCAACAAATGGAACATCCTTCTCCCATTCACTGAGGCTTCATTCTTTTAGAGTCATTTTGAATTCACCTTTCTTTCTCCTTTGTCCTACACATTAAATCAATGGTTGAATCTTGCCAATCACTATATCCATATGTAGTGATTAAGAGAATGAATTTGGAGTCAGATGGACCTGGTTTACTCTTAGCTCTGGTACATCTTAGCTGTGACTTTGAGCAAGTTACCTAACCTTTCAGTTTCTTAGTAGAGAGTCAGCAAAAAAGAGGAAGAACCTCATGTAGATGGATAGACACAGTGGCAATGGTCTCAAACATGGCAACATTTGTGAGGATGGTACAGGACTGGGCAGTGTTTCCGCAACAATAATGACCTATTATGGAAGATGAAGGTTCAGTCTTCTTACATTAAATCCTTTATAGCCTCTCTTCTCCCAATACATTTTGATTGTTGTTGTTAGGTGCCATTGAGTCAGTACCGACACATAGCAACCCTACGCACAGCAGAATGAAACACTGCCCAATCCTGGGCCAACCTCACTACTGTTTGCCATGTTTGAGTCCATCGATGCTGCCACTTGGTCAATCCATCTCATTGGGGGGGTCTTCCTCTTTTTCTCTGACCCTCCACCCTACCAAACATGATATCCTTCTCCAGTGACTGGTCCCTCCTGACAATATGTCCAAAGTATGAGAGATGAAGTTTGGCCATCTTGGCCTCCAAGGAGCACTCTGGCCGCACTTCTTCCAAAACAGATCTATTGGTTCTTTTGGCAGCCCATGGCACTTTCAATATTCTCCTCCAACACCACAACTCAAAGACATCAATTCTTCTATCGTCTTCCTTATTCACTGTCCAGCTTTCACATGCATATGAGGTTATTGAAAATACCATGGTTTGGGTCAGGCGCACCTTAGTCCTCAAGCTGACATCTTTGCTCTTCAACACTTTAAAAAGGTCTCTTTGCCCAATGCAATACGTCATTTGATCTCTTGACTGCTGCTTCCATGAGTGTTGATCCAAGAAGAATGAAGTCCTTGACAACTTCAATCTTTTCTCCGTTGATAAGAATGTTGTTTATTGGTACAGTGGTGAGGATTTTTGTTTTCTTGACATTGAGATGTAATCCATACCGAAGGCTATGCTCTTTGATCTTCATCAGTAAATGTTTTAAGTCCTCTTCACTTTCAACAAGCAAGATTGAGTCATCTGCATATTGCAGGTTGTTAATGAATCTTCCTCCAATCCTGATGCCATGTTTTTCTTCATAGAACCCAACTTCTCGGATTATTTGCTCAGCATACAGGTTGAACAAGTATGGTTAAAAAATACAACCTTGTTGCACATTTTTCTTAGTGTTAAAACCTTCAGTGTTCCCATGTTCTGTTTGAACAACTGCCTCTTGGTCCAGGTACAGATTCCTCATGAGCACAATTAAGTGTTCCAGAATACTCATACTTCGCAATGTCGTCCATAGCTTGTCATGATCCACACAATCGAAAGCCTTTGCATAGTCAATAAAGCACAGGTAAACATCTTTCTGATATTCTCTGCTTTCAGCCAAGATCCATCAGACATCAGCAATGATATCCCTCATCCTACGGCCTCTTCTCAATCCGGCTTGAACCTCTGGAAGTTCTCTGTCAATGTATGATTGTAGCCGTTTCTATAGTACCTTTAGCAAAACTTTACTTGCATGGGATATCAAAGAGATTGTCTGATGATTTCCGCATTCCATTGGGTCACCTCTCTTTGGAATGGGCACAAATATGGATCTCTTCCAATCAGTCAGCCAGATATTTGCCTTCCAAATTTCTTGACACAGCCGAGTGAGTGCCTCCCATGCCACCTCACTTTCTTGAAAGATCTCAATTTTTTTTTTTTCCCATCAATTCCTGGTGCCTTGTTCTTTGCCAATTCCTTCAGTGCACCTTGGACTTCCTCCTTCAGTTTCATTGGCTCTTGATCATATGCTACCTCTTGAAACATTTTGATAGGATATAGAATTCTGAAGTAGAAATCATTTCTTCAGAATTTTGAGGGCAAAACTGCTTCTTACTGAAATCATTGTGGTTCCCTTCTATTGGGTTAAAAACCAAACCACCAAAACCTTTCTAATGGGTTGGATCTAGAGCTTTGCCTGTGTCTGACATCATGATTACTAGAATATACCTGCTTCCCCTTTTTGAGAAGGAAAACAATATGAGCTCATCCCCAGTTCCCTTGGACTTGGGCTGTCCTCCGAGATTACTAGCCTCATTTGTCAGTACCCTGGGATGTAATTAACATGGGCTATTTGGAGCACACTAACAGGGATCCCTGATCTCATCTGAGGAAGTGACATTTCAGCTGAGCTCTGAATGATGACTAGCAAAGGCGGATGGAAAGCATTCCAGCAGAGATGGTTGCTTGTGCAAAAACTCCAGGAGGGAGCTTTGAGAATTGCAGGGAGTAAAAGCAGAAGACTGGAAAGTGAGGGGGAAAGCTGCCCGCCTGAAGCTAAGGAGGAGGGCAGGGGTCAGAGTATTCAGACCTTGTTGGTCATGCTTAGGTAGAATTTTTCACTTAATCCTAAGAGCAACAGGAAGTTAGAGAGAATTCTTAAAGAAGGGGGTGATTTGATCTGACTTGTGTCCTCCAAGGGTCACTGTGGTTGCAGTTTGGAGAATGAACTGGAGAAGGCGCATAGGAGAATCTGCGTGACATTGGTCTCTGGTAAACGTGAAGGCTAGCCTCGAAAGGGCAAAAAGAATCCAAATAGGTAAAATGCAATCTAGGGGCATGATGGAAAACTCCAGAGAGATTCCTGGCTTTCTTCAACTTGCTGATGGCAGGGTGATTTTGATGCTGCTAGAATAACTTCTGTTTTTTTCTTTCTTATTTTGGTAGGCTCTGGGAAAGAAGTGTTCCCTTCCCACTGGGTCCCTGAATTCCCCACCAGTACTTCCCTTTCTTTTCTAGTGTGGGCTGCACCAGGAGCCCCTGGTTGTTCAGCCAATAATGGTGAAATTTCTAAGGGGGTAAGTCAGAAGGTGAGAAAGAACAAGGTGGGGGGCGTGGGGGTGGGGTTAGAAAAGAAGAACCTTTGAGTGATGTATACTCAAATTGGATCCACTGGGTTTCCGGGGCTGTACATCTTTATGGGCGTAGTGACCCTCCTTTTTCTCCGAAGAAATGGCTGGTGACTCCAAATTGCTGACTTTGTGGTTAGCAGCCCAGACCTTAACCCACAAGAGCTCCTAAAATGGGGCAGCAGGATTGAAACAGAGCTGAACTCAAACAGCTTTCCCTTCCCTTCCTCAGAAAGCAAGTGTTGTGTTATCTCTAGGCAAGTTGGTAATAAGGCCAAAGGCCAAAAGACTGCTGCCTCTGAAATCCCCCCTGTAGGAGACTGGGCCTTCTGAGACAGTCAGCTGATACAATCTGAAGTCAGTCGATGTTAGGAACCTGGGATTTCTTTGGAAACTGTGAGGAGGCATTGAAAAGAACAAAAGTAATATTTCCTTGTAAAAAACAAACCAAAACCAAAAAGTCACTCAGGAAAGTGACTCTAAAGGATGTGCTTGATTGAGAGTAGTTCTAATTTCAGTTTGAATTTGAATATGGGGTGGGGGGAGGATCATTTTGCCTAATTTGCTTATTTTGCTGAGCATATTTTGATTTGTATTGAATTGCATTTTTATGGTCATGCAAATTAGTCTGGACCCTTGAGTATAGCTGTTGTGCTGAAATAAATTAGGAAAACAAAGAGACAGTGGAATTAGAATGACAAATGAGAATAAGACAATACTGCTGTATCTTCAGAGATCCCAAATGTCCTGCTGAAGTCTCCTGGTAGTGACAAGTGAGAGTTGTTGTTGTTGTTAATTGCTCTAGAGTCAGTTCTGACTCATAGCAAACCTGTATAGTGTTTCCAGGGTGTAAATCTTTGCGGCAGCATAGTGCCTCATCTTTTATCCCACAGAGCATTTGGTGGATTCGAACCACTGACCTTGTGGTGGTGTGAGAAATAACTGCCATACATTTCGAGGCCTCTCTCTCTTTTAAGCCATTTTGAATCTATAAGTAAAGTATATTTTTTGCCCATCTTTTAACACAATGTTTAAACAAAATATGGAAATATATTGTTTTTTTTTTTTTACTAGTTGGTGTTGCTTGGTGCCGTTGAGTTGGTTCTGACTCATAGCAACCCTATCCACAACAGAAGGAAACACTGCCGGCTCCTACATCACCCTCACAAGTATTGTTACTATTGAGGCCACCGCTGCTGCCACTGTGCCAATCCATCCTGCTGGGGGTCTTTCTCTTTTTCAGTGACCCTCCACTTTACCAAACATGATGTCCTTATCCAGAGACTGGTCCATTCTGATAGTATGTCCAAAGTATGAGAGATGAAGTCTCCCCATTCTGGTTTTTAAGGTGCCTTCTGGCTGTACCTCTCCAACACAGATTTGTTTGTTCTTCTGGCAGTCCATGGTACTTTTAATATTGTTCTCCAACACCAAAACTCAAATGCATCAATTCTTTTAAGGTTTTCCTTATTGTTTAACTTTCACATGCGTATGTTGTTGTTGATGTTAAGTGCCATCGATTCCAACTCATAGCAACCCTGTATAGGGTTTTTGAGGAGCAGCTGGTGAACTTGAATGGCCGGTCCTGCGGTTCAAAGCAACTTTGTAGTCCAGCGCATTAACCCACAGAGCCACCATAGCTTGGGTCAGGCGTACCTTAGTCCTCAAATTGACATCTTTGTTCTTGAACACTTTTAAGAGGTCTTGTCCAGCAGATTTGCCTAATGCAAGACATCTTTTTTATTTCTTGATTGTTAGTGGATCCAAGCAAAATGAAGTCTTCGACAGCTTCACTTTCTTCTCCATTTATCATGATCTTATTTACTGGTCCAGCGGTGAAGATTTTTGTTTTCTTTACACTGAGGTGCAATCCATACTGAACGCTGTGGTCTTTGATCTTCATCAGTTTTTCTTTACTAGTAAGCATGTATATCTCCAAATATCTAAATTAGGGTTTGATTATGTATGATATTATGTTATGAAGATCCCTGGTGGTGTGGTGGATAGGCCCTTGACTGCTAACCAAAAGGACAGGGGTTTGAAGTCACCAGCTGCTCTTTGGGAGAAAGATTAGACAGTCTACTTAAAGATTACAATCTTGGAAACCTTATGGGGCAGTCATACTCTGTCCTACGTTGTTTGTTGTTGTCAGGTGCCATCTAGTCGGTACCAACTCATAGAGACCTTATGCACAACAGAACGAATCACTGGCTCCACCCTACTGCAACCTCACAATCGTTGCTACGCTTGATACCATAGCTGTGGCCACTGTGCCTATCCAATTGTTGGGGGTCTTCCTCTTTCTCGCTGACTCTGTCCTGTAGGATGAGTCCATTTGACAGCAGTAGGCTTATACTGTGTTTTATCAATAAGGACTCTAGACTTATGTCTGGAAGGGATGACAATACTCTTCTCCATCCCCCAATCTCACTATCTAGAATTGCCACACAGTTAAAAACAAAACCAGCATCAAAAGCCAAATCTTCTGCCATCGAGTGGACTCTCAGAGTGCTCCATAGGATTCCTAAGGTTGTTGATCTTCAAGAAAGCAAACTGCCATATCTTTCTCCTGCCCCCCACCAGCAGTTGGTGGATTTGAACCTTTGATCTTTCAGTTAGCAGTCTCAATGCTTAACCCATTAAAAATCTCATGAAATTACAGCCGTCCCTGTGCTCAGTAGAAGAAACTCCAGAAAAGAAAGGTTTTCTATTCGAAAGGATATATCTGAAGTACTAAATGTCATAACCTTAGAACCAATCGGCCAATAAAAGAAAACATCCTAATATCTTAGTCCTGGTGTGACGCTGTAGGATAAGCAGTGGACTGCTAACCACAAGGTTAGCAGATACTCCTAGGAAACCTTGTTTATATATATATGAGTCAGAACCGATTCGAAGGCAGTCAACAAGAATATCCCATTCATATACTTTTAACATAAACCTTCAAAATCATCACGCCTCAAGTGCGAGCGAACAGGATGAACCACAATAGGGGAAGAATTGGACACCCGGGGTTGCTTTTACTGGGCAGGGCAGTCAGGAGCACAATTCAGGTCTCCTGCATTTGCACTTCCTTGCGGATGAGCGCCTTGCTTACAGAATCAAGTGTTTCGGAAGCTCCTTTGGGTTAACTTTCTTATAGGCCATCTCAGCCCAAGATCGACGAAGTATTCTTTTCCCTAGCTAGTCCTGTTCTTTTTCACCTCCCTCCCTCACCCCCCTGAACTTTGCCCGTTGACCTTCCTAGTCAAGCTCTTCTCAAGCCCACCCACATTTCCAGGCTCTGTTTTCTCTAGCGCTTTCAAGGATCTCCTCAGACCTGGCTTTTCAGCTGCGATTTCGCCCTGCCCTATTCCCTCAGCACCGTGAACCCCTCCTCTAGCAACCTTTCCTTAGGCCGGCATCCTTGACCAGATTGCGAGCTCCCTGCTGGTAGGTCCCTTAGTAGATCGGATGTCTCCAGGCCCTAGCACAGGGCCTGGTGCAAGGAAAATGCCCAGAAAAGGTGTGTGGAATTGGATCGAAACTGCAGGGGGGCAACAAGTGCCTGAGGTCCACCAGGTAAGGCCCTCCACGGCCCTCGGTTCCTTTGAATGATGTCTTCTGTACTTTTATAGAAGATCCCGAAGTTCTCCAACAGCCTCGCGTGGTACTAAAGGAATGGGGTGGGACTAGGGGGAGGGGTGCTCGGTCTGGCAATTCTAGACCCAGCTTTCAGTTTGCATTTTTCAAGTTTCATAGATAGATTCTAGTACGCGGCCGAGACTGAAAGGAGTTTCATATGCGCAATTTTCACGTCTTCGGGAAGTCTCCTAGCACTCGAGGCTTTGCCTACGTTTTTTTCCTCACATTTCTCGCTGCAGGGAAGCTACCGAGCTCTTTTGGCCTCCACTTTCAATAGGGACAGGGCATCGCGCTACGGCCCTGCAGCGTCGGCCACTTTCTCCTTTACCCCTCAGGGCACACCATAGCTGGGCGGGAGAGGGAGCTCCCAGCCCATATTACGAGGCCGAGCGTCCAGACGGAGGGACTACAACTCCCAGACTGCTAGGGAGGAGGCGGATCCAGGGGCGTGGCTGTAGGGGGCGGGGAGGCAGGGAAATCCCGCCCCGCTGCGCAGCAGCAGCGACACAAAGCCTGACTTTACTACCTTAGAGAAAGTGGAAGTAAGAGGGCTGAGGTGGGGAGGCAGGGTGAAAGAGAAAACGCGGGGAGGGCCAGCCGCGTAGTGGAGGGTGCGACACGAGGACTGTGAGGAGACCCGTGCCTTCCGAGATGCGAAGGGGTGGGTTTCATAACTAGTCCCTCGCGCGCGCGCCCGCTCGCCCACCCACCCCACGCTGGGATCTCGGGTGTCTTGCGGCTCCCCGCTCCCACTCGGAGAGAACCCGGCGCCTGCAGCCGGGAGGCGGGGAGCCCGGCTGGCGGGCTGCCCCGTGGCTCCCC